GGGGGGGGGGGGCTCTTTTGATGATACTGGTATCTCATTGCAAATTTAAGCTCCTTAACTCTTGAGAAAGCTCTCTTTTGGATTTCTAGGCAAGTTTCTTAATATAAACGTTATTTGACGAGGAATCACCGAGTGTTATGATAATGAAAACTGGTAGTATCGCTGAATATAGGTTTAAAATGTTACTTCATTGGTGCCTTTTGATTTCGCATATCATGCTCTAAACAAAAAAACGGATTCGTGATAACAAGAGAGGATAAAGGGGACAGAGAAGGCATCCCCCATACACACCCTATTCCATAGGTAATTCGTTTCGAGTTATTTTTAAGACCGCAGACCCCACTGGGGATTAGACAACAGCCAATCACATAGCGCGAATGTGTTCCGCGTGGATGACCCACGCTCAGAGCCACGCGTCCTTCACGAATTGACGCAAAACAAATGGTGGAAGACGCGGAGAGCGATATTGACACATGGGGGTACCGACGCATAGTATATGGTTTGGGGTTTTTGCTGACGACCGCATTTTGGGCGCTCGATACTGGCGCATAGCGCAGAAATTGGTTTGAACCGGTTTTGGGCGGCTTGTCTAGAATTTATATATATTTTATTTTTTAATAATATCGAAGCCCAACCATATCACCATACTGAAATAGCTTTTGACTATATATTATTTTGGTTTTTGAGTTAGGATCTATTTGATATTTTTGATATTTATCCTCATTTGTGAATACAACATGAGAATGATTATTGGTTATTTTTTTGAGTCCAAAATCTATTTTGTCTGTTTCTGCTTTTTGAATCATTTCCAATATTTTATCCACAATAGGATCTTCGATTATTTCTTTTTATAAGTATCTAAAATAGGATCTAAATAAAAGCTCTTGCCGCATTTATAATCGGCTTTTTCTGTTGCTTGCTCAGGCTCAATGAGTACTGATCCTTTGTATCCTTCACAAGTATTTTTTATGATGCCAGATAGTAGTAACAACCCAAGGCATGAAATTCTTGGTTCTTTTAGCTGGTTTAGTTCCCTCACCGTTAAAGGTTATTCGCGGAACATACAATTGCATCCTAGTGATAACCACTCGGCAATCAGCTCCGGCTTGCCAAATTAGATTACCATCGGACTCGATCTCAAAATTCATCTCAACTCTTGTATTAGGTAACAGCTCATCCTCTAACATTTCAAAGAATGAGTATCGGTTCAGTGGTATTTCAGTGTTTACTGTGGATGAGACACCTACAAGTGCTTTTCGAAGGGCAAAACCTTTATTGTAAGCTGCTCGCCTTTTAGCTAACTGATTTGTACCGCTAACTTCAAATTCCCGCTCTTCCGCATTTCTGGTTGTATCAAGGAAGAAAAACAAATTACTTGCTGTCTTACTGGCGTAAGCCGGACTGTACTCAAGCAAGTTGTTAATATTTACCGCGTGATTCGCGTCATTACAATCATACACTTTCTTACCGTTTAGTTTAATGTCAAAATGTTTCAATAGTGAGTACGACCCGTTTACAATACCACTATGATCTGCTACTGCAATATTGCCTCCATTAGCCAGCAAGACTACTTTGAAATCGACACTGATTCGGGCATTATACCAGTCGAATGGTGTAACCTCACCACTGTTATCAACAACAAACCTATAGCCATCTTTCTTCTGATGAGCATTATTGGCCACAGTTGTATTTAGTGCTGTTTCTAGGTCAAAAATAACATCTTCATATCGTTCAACATACTTTGGATCTCTAAAAGATTTCATTATATTAATAGATTACATAAATCTTCTCATCTGGCCTCCAGATAGTAATTGATTCACCCTCTCATTAATTTCGTAATCGGTGAGTTCTCTTGATTGTGGATTTTCTATTGGCGATGTCGCTACTGGTAATGCTGCTACTGGTGTCTTTTTATTCTTTTTGCTTAATAATTGAATAATTTTATCACCGGCTTTTTCGCCAGCATATTCACCAGTTTTGGTAGCAGCTTTTTGAACGGCCTTTTTTGTTGCCGTTTTAGCAGCCTCTTTCATCGTCTTTCCAAATAGCTTTCTACCAATTGTTTTGAAAACATCGGTAACACCTTCTCCATAAATATGCTTCTTAACATATCTCCCCGTTTTAACATCATAACGTTTCTTGAATTCTGATTGTCTCATTGTATATTATTAGGTTACATATTATGCTGGTTTGGATCGCAATATCAATGTCATAAACCAGTCAATCTTATTTAGTCCAATTGGTCGCCCGAGTGAGTCTGTGATATAAAACCTCATTTGTGAAATATTAAGTTGGGAAACTTCATTAAACAATAGTCTTCTGGGTTCAAATGTGAATTGGAAACTTCTTGTCAAATTGTCAGTTGGAATAACAGCTAACGTATTAGTATTAACACCATTCAATATGCTGTTCGTAATAGCATCGGTATTGATGTAGATCATATCAATGGAATTTGTGATATTGGGAAGAATTGTCCCATATTCTGTTTTTGTCACAATTTTCTCTGTAAATCCAATTAACTCGCCAAATTTACTGTTTTTTAGATTCAGTTGGTAATTGTTGTCGATCTTAATGAGAATCTTGTATGTCGATAATACAAAAGTTAGGTTAATGTAGTATACATCATCCTTTTTGCATCAGTAGTAAAATGGCCTTTCTTTTTCATGTACTGATGGAGATAGTCATTTAGATCTGAATAAGTGTACATCCCATCCACAAATTTGACGGTTTCCCATGATGTGCCACCATCAGGTGAGTATTTTATTTCCTTATTTTGATACTGTTCTGAAATATTGTGCCAACTGTAAGTTATAGTGGCCTTATCCAAGGCTATTTCATGTGTCATATTATTTTGGAGTTTTAACACCGGATCAAATTTGATTATGAAGTCCTCTGCTTTATTCCGTCCGATTTTCTTTCTATTAACAGATGATATATGGATTGCTCTTTCTTGCATTTATATTATTAGATTACATATTCCTTCTACAGACTATTAAGCTGGTTGTTATTTAGTATGCCTAATTTGTTCAGTGTGTGAGCAATTTTGGAAAATTCATTTTTCACACCATTATTTCCAGCCAATATGGATCCACCTAATAATTCTAATCTGTCCAATAGATCAACTGGGTTATTATAGTAAACAACTCCTGAACCGATTTTTTTGTACTTATTACTGGTTCGGTGAATTGGAATATCACTTATTCTGTTCAGGTCATCAAATACCATTTTTGATAAAGGTGAATACTTCTTTTTACTGTTGAACCGCTTTGTGAGCAGATCAAGAGTATCAAAGTCCACTTGCTTATCATATACTTTTTTACCATCCTTATGAGCAATTAGTTTAAGCTGGCCATAAAGTTTGGGCACATCAATGGTTACATTTCCATAAACACCAGTATTAGGGTTAATCTTATAAGCATTTCTCTTCTTCTGTGTGTAAATACCCTGACTAACTTTCAATGTTTTTGCGCCTTCCTCTACAATACCAATTCTTTGTCTGTATTTTCTTATGATATCAATTCCTTCAGTATACTCGGCAATTTCATCCCTATTTTTCTTTCTGTTAGCTTTTGTTGTGCTCAAATGGGCTTTTTTCTGACCCAATTTCTTATTTATTTCACCGGATTTATCCAGAATTTGTTTTGCATAATTTGGTTGTTTTAGAGTTTGCAAAAAGATGTCAGCTGGTAATGGCAATTGCTGGTTTTGTTTAAATGCCAATTCTTCTTGGGTAAATCCTTTATTCATATCAGCTATCATTTTGGGCGCCACCTCACCACTTGGGCCTGGCAATGCTAATCTTTGAACTTGCTCACCATAGGGGATAACTTGTTTATTAACATCTTCTCTCAATTTACTGATTTCCTCAATTTCCTTATCAAACTTTTCTGTTAGGGGTTTTAGATCTTTAGCCACCTTTTCATATAAATCTTGATCTCTATAAGTTTCAACTTCTTTTATAACATCCCTAACAACTTCAGTCATTTTTCCTGCTTCAATTTTAGGAATACTGAGTCTTTTGAATCTTTCTATATCCATTATACTATTGTGTTATATAAAACTTATCTCAACTTATCTCAACTTATCTTGAATTATCTAACATAATATTATATGGATATTCCAAATTATGATTTCAATGAAGACGAAAATACAAACTTCAAACAGTTGTACAAGTATATGCCCAAGTCCAATTTCTGGATGCTAATATGTGGCAATTCAGGGTCAGGCAAAACAAACTTACTTTTTAACATCCTTATGAAACCATTAGTCTATTATGATCAGATCCATTTATACGGTAAAAACTTGGAACAGGAAAAGTATCGACACATGATAGAAACAATGAATGACATTAGTAGCCAGGCTGGATATGACATAATGCACTGCAATAATGATGACATTAAACCTGTCAATAGTCTGGAAAGTGATGCCCAGAAAATTGTAATATTTGACGACTTCATTTGTGATAAAAATCAAAAGCCGCTTATCGATTATTTTATTCAAGGCCGACATAAGAATTGCAGTGTTATTTACCTTTCACAATCATTTTATAAAACACCAAAAGATATCAGACTAAACTGCAGTCATTATATTGTTTATGATTTCCCTAGCAGTAATGAGAGAAATATGATTTCTAGAGAGTTGAATGTAACAAAGGATCAGTATATTAAAGCCACTAAACAGCCGTACTCATTTCTGTATGTTGATAAACCAATGAAGACTGTCAAAAGAAACTTTTATAGAAATATCTAATATGTTATTATAAAATGGGAATATTCAATCAGCAACCTAATTATAATCAATCATATACGAAAGAAAAACGCGGAATTACTGGCCCTCAAGGACCTCCTGGCCCACCTGACCCCGCTGGTGCTCAGGGTAACCAAGGTCCAAAAGGTGATCAGGGTATTCAAGGACCCAAAGGTGATCAAGGTGCTACTGGTCCTACTGGCCCTAAAGGTGCTACTGGTACATCAGGCACTGGTTTTAATCTTACATCAGATGGGAATTATGATATGACGAGCAAAAAACTGACAAATATGGCTAAGGGGACTGTTTCCAATGATGCCGTAACTAAAAATCAACTTGATACTAAACTATCACTTTCTGGTGGATTAATGACCGTCAATTTAGATATGAATAGCAAAAGGATATACAATGTAGCACAACCAGATGGTGATAATCAACCAGCTACAAAAGTTTGGTCAGAAAATAAATTCCTGGATAAGTCCAGTGGAGTAATGGCTGGACCACTAAATATGTCCAATAATATAATCACCCATCTAGGTAATGCCACCAGTGGAAAGGATGGTGTTTCACGCGATTTTGGTGATGGACGGTATGTTAAGAAGAGTGGTGATACGATGACGGGTACATTATCAGTTCCAAATATAAGCACGAGCCTAAATTATTTAATGAAGCGCGACAAGGTCATGAACTATTACAGTCTATTGAATCATTTTTTCCCACAGTATGGAGGACGACTGACTAATAGGGGAGTAAGCGATGGATATATATATAATCTCAAATCTCCAAGTTATACAGATTCAAAAGGTGACTCATATGCTATGCCGAGGAGTTATACTGATGCACGTTATCATAGACTAAATCAAGATCTGGACATGAACAGTAAGAAGATAACCAATCTAGCTGACCCAACTGATGCTACTGATGGGGTTAATCTGAGAACATTGAGTAAACATTTTATAAAGCCATCTGATCATACTAACGGACTGATTTACTAACTGACAGTATTGCCCTAACAGCATTGGTGATGTGAATGCAACATCAGGCAACTACCACACATACAATAAAAAGGTGATTTTCGCATCCATTTAGAAGAATTCAGAGGGTGGTTATAAATGGCGATTAGCTATCCAATGCTATCGCCTTCAAAAGGACAAAGAATATACCCTTTGTTTGGAAATCCTTACTACTGACTATAAATTATGGCACAAATCTGTAATTACTGTTGATACAACTACCAGCCAGGGAGTGACTGTAAAAAGATGGCATGTCAATAAGTACTCACATGAGTATAGAACATCTTCCAATCAGGTTGAATATATGTATTATCATAAACTCCTGGTGACATTCAGTAAGACAGCTGAATATACTCCTTATTTCTTACATATCCAGGATGTTATGGCTCAGTCGGGAATTGACTTGAACACATATCCAACTAATTTCAATAAATATTACCTAATAGCTTACGGTATTCTTGGTGAAACAATGGATTTAGATCCAAACAAAACTTATGATTACCATACAGCTTTTGATATTAAGCTGACTGAAGTTGTTTACAATGTTGATCTGGATATGAACAGAAAGAAGATACTGAATATAGCGCTAGATCGCACTAAGAATAATTCAGCGGCGACTGTGAAGATGGTCAAAGATTTGGATACGAAATTGAGCCCTCATACAAAGAATAATGTGTACAGGGAAATATTTGAGGCATTTTATGATTTAAGCGATGCTAGTAACTATCAAATAATAATAGGAGTATCAGGTATCATGGTTTCAGGCATCCTACCTAATATTTATTTTCCTAGAATGGACATTGCCAATATTTGGGAGGGCAGAGTGAGAATAAAAAATACCACATTAAGTTTGGAATTATTCAGTAAAAGGAGCTTTACTCTTTGTGTTGTTATGGTGCTATGGCTGAACAAAAACATGCACATTAAAACATTGATGAGTGATGGAGCTTATGAAAGACCACATTTGATTCATGACAAAACAACAAAGAAATTAAAACTGCAAACTAATGGTCATGGGTCAACTAATGAAACTTCTATCACATTCCTAAACAGTTTCAATGGTAAACGTGTTGTGTTTTGGTTGACTAAGAAACGTACAGGGGTAACAGCAAAGGCATCAATTAGTAATCACAGTGCGACATTAACACTAAATTCAACTTTAACATCACAAAGTAACTACACATTCAGAATATTCTCAGAAGGTGCAGTGAGCTATAGAGTAATGTACACTTCAAACTTTCATGACTTAGATTCTTTAGAATTTCACAGAATTTTGTTGCAAGAAAAACTAAACGGTTCTTATGTTCTGTAATTTGTCTAGACCAATAATATAATGAGTCAAAAAGAAAACATATTTAAGTTTAATCATATAGATAAAAGCAAAACAAAAGAAGAGATACAGGAAATCAAAGAACTGTATAAGTTATATCATTTCAAGTTCTGGGTTTATCAAAAGGCCTACAAACACTTTAAGAAGATGAATCTCCTATTAAACATAACATCATCTGGCCTGATAGTAGTTGGAGCTGTTGCTGGTGGTTTGACAGCCAACCCAGCCATTCTAGGAAGCATATCAGGAGCTGGTTAGTTCTAAAAACATTCTCTGAGACGAAAGACTACAAGAAAAAAATAGAATTATCTAAATTTTGTTACACGACTTACAGTAAAGTGTTAGTCGAGTTGAGGACTTCGCTGCGAGGTGGTACCTTTGATAAAGACGACTTCTTGAAGGAGATGACAGTACTCGATGAAACAGTTATTGATTTCGCCCCATTAGTTACAAGATTCGAAAAGCAATACGCTAAAAAATTCCTCTTCTGTCCAGCAAAAACTGAATAAATGTTCTCTGTCGATAAAAACAAAATGGCGGACGTTTTAGTCTGGATAGTACTCCATGTTAGTTAACCCGAAGTACAACCTCGTCCCTAGGGCCTCTCGCTCAATGAGTAAAATCTATTTCCGGTTAGGGGCTTTCCCTACTTCCTGTCTGAATTCTGATAAACCAGACGGCTAATATCAGCCTTGATTAAGGAATAAACTTCCACCAATTTTCATAATATCGTAGTGTATTTTTTGACTGAGTAATAGGAATAATCTTATATTCTACTCCTAAAATATCAAAAAGTTGTTTTATAATAAAATTCACACTGATAAGCCGTCTTCTGCGACAATTATTGACTTGCGGTATAACTTGGTCAATCAACCGAACTATTCTCAGAATCTTCTCCCGATTATAATAACCAACTTGTATATTATTATCGTCTGCAATATCATTGATGACATTCAAAATATGATATTTACTGTGGTATACAGACTTTCTTTTTATCCTGTGTCTATTCTCATAAAAATCTACATACTCGTCTGCTGTTAAATAATCATGTATTTGGCCACAATGCTCACACACGATAAAACCGTCTTTGATCAGTCTCATAGAATGGCAACAAAAATATCGCTTGGGCTTACCAGGGTCCTGGATCTGTTTATTACAAAAGATACAATTAATATGACTTTCCTGGATCAATAACTCGTGAACTTCTTCATTACACAATTCTATATACTATCTTTAGATTTTTATATAATATTTGCCCCCACTGAGACTGTGTATTACCAGAGGAAAAAACCCAATTGGAGGAGGACACAAATTACATCCCACATTTTTGAGAATATTGAATTGGACTCATATATAACGCTAGTTTGAAATAGTACTAGAGTGTATCTTGGTGAAAGTATTACCTGATTGGAAAAACGCGGGGCCTTTCGGCTAATACTGGTAACCGGATACCCTTGTTAATGATGAGGTAAAAATCCCGCGGCTTCATCATTAACTTGGATGGGAATATATGGGAAAATGGGGAAACTCCCTTGTAGACGGTGTCCAGGGCGTTGAGTAGAGCTGTAATTGCACTGAGGACCATTCGTAAGAGGATGCCCAAAAGGCAGAGCGAGGTGCATAGGAGTGCTGGTTCGCCCCTAAACTCGAGAGGGAAAAACAAAAATCAAATGAAATAAGATGAAATGAGATGAAATTTGGAAAAGCCCTGTAAATGGCCGGCCTATGGGTAATAAGAATAAAACCTTCTCAGGAGGGACTGAGGGGAAATGGGGGGATGGGAGGTAGGGATGAGAAAATGGGGGAGTCCTCCTGTGAAGGTCTGGCGGCCACCAGTTTTGTTAATTTTTTATTCGTTTATTATAGTAAAATTTTTATATAATCTTATATTATATGAGTTCTTATGAAAGTTTTAGTGATTCCGATCAATCAAGCCAAGATTATAGTCAATCATAAGGGTCTCAAGATTCATATGGTAGTCAGTCACTTGAAACCTGGGATGATAGCTATGAGTCTTCTTTTATTGATGATAGTAGTCAGTCCTCTTGGTCTGATAGTCAGTCAAGCCAGGATTCTGAGTAAATTGTTGCCTACCCCAAATTGGGGTCACCAACAAAAGTTATAATAGACCTGAATTATATAACCTCATAAATAATATATTTAAAATTATTTTCTTCATATATATATATGATGAGAATGATTGAAAAAAAGTTTGCTAATGAAGATTTAGAAATTGAGCTGACATCATATATTGACGATAAGCAAAATGTTTGGTTCCGAGGAAAGGATGTTGCTAAGATCCTTGGATATAGTGACACTGATGATGCTCTTAGGCGACATGTTAATAAAAAGTATAACATGAAATGCCCACAAACCTCACCCGGTGAAACGCCGGGTCAGGTATACTTTTTTCAATGAACCCGGTTTTTACGCTCTGGTTTTTGGCTCAAAACTACCGAAAGCTAAAAAATTCCAAGATTGGGTATTCTCCACGGTACTCCCATCAATCCGCAAGTATGGCCAATACAAACTATTTGATAGTCCCTGGAATAAAATGATCATGATTGGCAATGAAACCAGTCTACATTATCAAATTATTAAAGTTATTAGACGATTCTACCCACATGCTTTACTTCTACCAGGCCTTGGGGAATTGCAAGACACCAGTTCAAAACGTATTGATGCTTATCGCAAAGGCTATCAACGTGGACAAGCTGATATTGTTATCGGTAATAAGCATGTTTCCTATCAAGGTTTCGCTATTGAACTTAAAAACCCTAATAATCATTATCAAATTAGTGATGCTCATTTGAATATGGAAAAAATCTAGGAACTTAATGGGTATAAATATCTTTGCTCAAATGATTATGACTTTATAATAAAAGAAATTCATGATTATATGACAGGTATTCGTCTGTCTTGTAATCATTGTAACAAAAAATTCAAACATCTTATTTCACTTAATAACCATCACAAATATTTTCATAAAATTACTGGTTAATCTTATAATGACCGTAAGCCCAAGAATTACATCCATCATCTAATATGTAACGTTTATCATCAAAACAGCTTAGTGATATTTTATTCAGTTTATAACTACCAATTTGATGGTTTACTGATCTAATCGTATTCATCTTATGTAATAGTTGTTTACGATTAAATAAACAATCTTTATAATTCTCATGTGTTATCTCTTTTTGTATCACATATTTTCTGATTCCTTTCGCCGTCTTCTCATTTTTATTATTTTCTTTCACAAATGAATACATCTTACTTCGTAGCCCAACAAATTCTTTAATTGGCATTCCCGCCGCTTCATCCTTAAATTTACCTATTACTTTTTTATTTTCAGAACTATAATATTGGCTGTCTTTTGGGTAATCACTATTATCAAATAATTCTTTATCTTCCCACAGCTCATTATAAATATCTTTTGTTTGGATCTCATAACATAGACTATCTGTATCTGTAAATAATAATTTCGCCTTATTATCATATTGTCTTTTAATATAATTATAGTGAAAGTTATACATTAGAGTTTTTGATAGATCTAAAATACACATCCCCACATAAGCTGGTCTATCAAGTTTTAATATTTCTTTTCGTTTATGAACTGCAACAAGACCTTCACTGAATATTTTACTATTAACAAATGTTGGTTTGCTTGCAAATTTGGATAATTTCTTTTTATCAGTTACTAATCTTACATCAACACGTTTTCTAATATTTTCCATCGTTTTACCAGATACTGAATTATTTAACAATTTGAAAAAGTCCTTCTCAAATGCATTTTTAGCATTCATACTTTTTCCGTGTTAAAATTGATATACTTCGCCAGCCAGGGAGACTGGTCAAATTCTAATACCCTATGTACTTTCTTTAATTTCAAACCTAGGTATAAATATAATTGTAAATTTCGATAATGTAACACGTAATTCTTTTTATTTGATAATGTTGGAATTAACTTTGAAACCTGACCAATACTTATACCAAACTGCTTCTGAATCTCCTGACAATATAGTGATAACATCTCTTTTGTCACTTTCATTTTTTCCGCAGCTAAAGGATAATCATTATGTCTGTCATGTAAGTCTTTGGGATATTCTAAATCTACTTCTAATATCATACCTTTTTTTGCGATCTTCTCTACATACATTTATATTCAATTTTTGCATTTGTTTGGCAGTGTTAGAGGGTGGTAACCCTATTGCTAGGCATCATGGGAAGGGACTTGAGAGAGCTACGTTGTGTCATGGCGTTGAGTTGAGTTACTGTCTTGTTACCATTAGAGCTCTCACCGAAACATGGTACCAGGAGTGTGAACAAACGCTGATTATTCTGCTGCTATCGATCTGCTATCGATCTGACTTTCTGTGATCTTGTTTGTCTGTGAGTGTGGAATCTCGTCGGTCGCTCAAACATACTGCCTGGATCTTCGCGCCAAAAACCACGAGTTAAACATGTCGGAAGAAGGAGCCGAAGCTGCGGCCCCAGCTCAAGATCAAAATCAAGGTTTCTTTACTGGTAATATCATGAACTTCGAGCGACCCAAGTTCGATTCCCGCCGGGAGAATCGGCTAGAAGCATTGAAAGCCTTCAAAAAGAAATGTGGTTACATCTTCAAAGGAAGTCTTGTGAATATTTCGAATGAAAGAAAATGTCTTCTGGTTCAAGATTGGCTTGGCCCTGAAGGTCAAAAGATATACGACAGCCAGGACTGGTTTGAAGGTGAGGATGTAAACGACTATGATCTGATGTGGACTAAGTTGGAGCGAGCGGTAAGTCCAGAATGTAACGAGATTGTTGCTTCTAAGAAATTTAAAGAACGAGTGCAAAAACCTGGAGAGACAATAACTGCTTTTGTCACTGATCTGCTGCTGTTAGTGAAAGACTGTAATTATGTAGACGAAGATAGACAAGTGAGAGATCAGTTTGTTTATGCTGTCTCTGATGAAGAACTAAAGAAAAGATTGCTAGAAAAAGGAAACACTCTCACAAGAGTTGAAGCTATTACAATTGGCAAGGCTTATGAAAGTACAAAGATTGAAGTCCAAGAGTGCAGTGCAAACCGAACTCCTGCAAAAGAGAGTATAAAAGCTGTTTCTAAAGATAAGCCCAAGAAAGTCCTCATTTGTAATTACTGTGCAAACAAGAAGGGAGCTCATAGCTTTTCAGACAAGAAACTCTGCCCCGCCTGGGGAGCAGTCTGCAGAAAATGCAAGGCCAAAAATCACTTTCAAGACTCAAAGGAGTGTAAACGCTTACAAAAAGGAAAACAGGAGAAACACTCAGATCCAAAACAATCAAAATCAACCTCAAAACCGTTTGTACTGAGAGTAGAAGAAGATGGTGAGGATCACTATTATGAAGTTCTTGACAAAATCTGTGTACTTAATCAAAACTGTGATCACAAGAAAGCTTTTGCAAACCTACTGCTGTCGAAGAAAAGAATTCCTGTTAGCTTTCAGATAGACTCTGGTTCAACATGTAGCATCCTCCCTGTGAATGTGTACAAAGACATCAGTGGAGATTATGATCTCACTGACCTTAACACTGTAGTCAAGCCTGTTCCTGTCTCTCTATGATGAAGAAACCAAAATTCAGACCCTGGGAACGAGAAAAGTCTTTGTGCTAAATCCTGCAACTAGTGAAGAAAGGATAATTCAGTTTAGAATTGTTGACAGAGACCTAACACCTCTGATCGGTCTAAATGACTCTGAAACACTCAAACTCATTGAGTTCTTAAGAGAGAATATTGCTGTAGTAGCCCCAGCCAACCCAAGTGTCCCTGTAACTGCCAGTGAAGTGACAGCACCACTCACCTTGGAGACCATTCTGACTAACTACCCTCAAGTCTTTGATGACAGTATAGGAAAGTTTGAGGGCGAACTACATCTTCACACAAGTAATGATGTCACTCCTCACAAAACAGCTCCTAGAGAAATCCCTCTCTCTGTGAGGAACAACTTTATTGCTGAAGTAAAAGACCTCCAACAGCAAGGTATAATTGAGAAAGTGACTGAGCCTACCGAATGGGTAAGTGCTCCTACAATTGTAAACAAACCTTCTGCTAAGAATGGAATTAGACTCTGCATAGACAGCAGACCACTGAACACGGCACTCAAACGATCTGAGTACCCAATCCCAACTGTTGATCATCTGCTTACAGACATTAGCAATGCTAAAGTATTCTCTCTAGCTGATATCAAGACTGCTTTTTGGCATGTACCATTAGATGCAGAAAGCTCCTTGCTGACAACCTTCAATACCCCTCTTGGACGGATGAAATGGAAAAGAATGCCTTTTGGCATCAGTGTAGCACCTGAAGAATTTCAAAGAAGAATTGATGAGAACCTAGAAGGATTAGAAGGTGTGAAAGCCATAGCTGATGACATATTGATCTGGGGCGATGGAGAAAACATTGAAGAAGCAACAGCTAGCCATGACAAGAGATTGCTTGCCTTGTTGGAGCGATGCCATCAGAAGAATATTAAACTTAATAAGGAGAAGTTCCGGCTGAGGAAGACTGAGTTGTTCTACATGGGTGTGGTCCTTACAGACAAAGGAGTTAAACCTGACCCCAAGAAACAAGAGTGTATTCCGTCAATGCCTGCCCCAACAAACAAAGATGAAGTCAGAAGACTACTTGGTGTTGTTACCTACCTCTCAAGATTTTCAGAAGACTTGTCAACCAAGTTAGAACCGATACGAGCTCTGCTGAAGAACAACACTGCGTTTATCTGGGAAGAAAATGAACAGAAAGCTTTTGATGAAATTAAGACCCTCATTCTGAATGCACCACTGCTAAGATACTTCATTGTGGCTGAACAAGTTGAAGTCCAAGTGGACGCATCATCAAGAGGTTTAGGAGCCTGCCTCATGCAAGGCGGCCAACCTATACAATATGCATCGAGAGCATTAACAGACACTGAAAAACGTTACAGCCAAATCGAGAA